AACGAAAGCCATATTGCTTGTCTAAGAAAAGGCCCTGCGGTGAGAAATGATTAACAAATTCAGCATTGAATCTTGCCTCTAGTACTTTCCCAAAAAGAGGTAAAATGCTAAAAGGCTGATAGTTGAGAGGGTCGGACGGCTCACCAGATTTCTCAAAAACTGGAACAGCAGAACGATCACTTCCAGCAGGTAGGAAAGCAGGAGTCTGCAAGACATTTCTTATAAAAATTTAGAGAGAACAGGAATGGAAGCACACTTCTTAATGTCTATTACAGGGATACCACCAGGTCCACATGCTTTGTGGGGATCTAGGTTTTAGGTGATAGCAGAAACTATGGAACGGTTTATATGCATATCACTCAACAAAGACTCACTTATAGGAATGAAGTTAGTGATATTCCAGATGAGTCAAGAGTAGAGTTTGAGAATTTACGGGCAAAGCATTCACCTTTATCATCGGAAGAGGATAACACCTCATATTGATTGGAGGGGAGGAATAGAGACCTTACACTTATTTAATACCCTATTAGACAGACACCAGCAATCGCGGGAAACAAAGTTGTTAGAGGCAATGCGTTGCCTCATTTTCTCGGCAAACAGCGACATTTCTGCGTAGAGGACTCGCTTTCTTTTTATTGCGAGCAGCAACCAATAGGCGCCTGTTGTGCCATCACGCTGGTTTAGCCGAAAATAGTGGTTCTTATGCGCTATAACGGCCGAGCATGCTGCGTGAATCATGGAGTGGATTGATGTTTCACCTGGTATTTCCTAGAAGGAATGAAAGCGTCCATGCCTCAGTGGCGCAATTTTCAATTGGGAGTTTAAAGATGTCATTCCAAGGGGCGTCACGGAGAAAATCAGCATACTGGTAACCAAAAGAGGTCCCGTGAATATGGGGTTCCTGATAATAAAGGATTGGAACTAAATTTCAATAACTACCACAGAGTGGTATGAATTACCAAGAGGTTAGTGTTAGAAAGCTCGGCAAGAGCGAGGAGAGGAGATATTAAATAAAATAGAGAAGCATGTTGCTTGTTTTTGCTAGGGAAACGAGTCGGGAAGTCCACGATTTGATTCAGAGATTGAGCAATAGAATAATTTAATATCTAAACTTTTGAAAGAGTTTTTAATAAGGTTATGCCGAGAGAATTGCAAATATGTCTAAAATCAGACATTTTTAGAGAGTTAAAAACTCATCCCAATCAATTAAATTCGTTTTAAAATACAGCGAAGTATTTTGTTTATATTAAATTTAATCTATAAGGTTGAAATTAAAACTAAAATAAGAGCTTAAAAAATATTTTTCATTTTTAAAAATTCATTTTAAATCTTAGTTACCGCATTTCTTTGGAAGTATATATATATATATATATATATATATATATATATATCGCTTAAGATAAGTCAATTTTACTTGTTTACGTTTAAGCATTAGTGAACCGGCCAAACAAAATAAGCGAAAACAATTTTATTTATTTCCTTTCTTTCTTCCTTCCTTCTGGTCTTGCATGCAGAAAATTTTCAATTCTTCCGGAATATTTTGCAAAGCAAAATATGAATTGCTTCTCAGAGGTTTTTTTCTTACCATAGAAATTCAAGATTTTTTCCGCCATAATTTCAGTTTTTTATTTACAGGCAAAAAAGACTGGATGACAATACACATAGGAAAATATGCAGGTACTGATTTTTATATATATATATATATATATATATATATATATATATATATATATATATATATATATATATACATATATATATATATATATATATATATATATATATATATAATCAGTCTATATATATATATATAATCAGTATATAAATATATATATAAATAAATCAGTATATATATATATATATACAAACATAATCAGTATATATATATATCAATTTATATATATATATATATATATATATATATATATATATATATATATATCGTGAGGAGAGTGAGTTGAGGGAAAAGTGAGCTGAGGTAAGATGGTAAAGAAATGGATAGATAAAAATGAAAGACGTGAAAGACAAAGATATAGGAAACATAGATAGACAGACAGGTAGATAGAACATACTGAAATAAATAGACATATAGATAGGCAGGCAGGTAATCATAGGTTGCATTTAAATCGAATCCGAGGTACAGTATTATTAACTTGGCATTTGGTCTTCATTTGAATTGAACTCAACCTAATTGTAATCATTTAAATTTTGCTGACAGAATTTGTTTACGTCTTGTTATTCTGTCTGCACAAAACTTCAATTTTCTAAACATGAAATAATAACCACGTAATAAATACATCTTCAGTAAATTGAAACGACATATACGAGGAACCTTTGAAAGGTTCGTGGCCTGATCCACGTCCAATCAGAGGAAATCTTTGCAAATCAGATTTTTATGAAAGAACATATTTATAGCCTATTTAAAATATTTAGAAAGAAAGAAAGAATTACTATCATGATAGAGTATAATTTCGCATATATATATATATATATATATATATATATATATATATATATATATATATATATATATATATATATATATCACACCGAAGTTAAGCATCGTAGAGGCAGGTTAGTACTTGATGGGGGACAGCGTGGGGAACACCTGGTACTGTAAGCAACCCCTTCTACCGGTAAGTTACTTTTTAGAAGGCATGGTGGAGCGGCTTGGATTGAGGATTCGGAGAGCCGAGTTCGAATTCCAGTCGAATCCATTACATTCACTTACGTGCTAATACCCTCGTGAAAAGTAATGAAATCCTCTTCTCCCTCCAGCTATGAGTAAATAGCAGAACAGATCGGGTTCTATAGCCTTGGACAGGAGGAGGACAACTCTGAATTTAAAATCTGCAGACGATTATTTAGGGACCGTGTGTGTGTGTGTGTATTTAATTGTATATTTGTATATTTTCAAAAATTTCTCTTAGATACAGCGTCATGGAAGATTTACTTAACTTTATATTGTTTTTTCCAACATCCTTACGTTGTTCCGTTTTGTAGGAGTAAGGGAGTACAAAATTTTTCCATTTTTAATATATCACCCACTTCTATAACCATTTTCAAAGCTGTTTTGTCTCTGGTGTTGTTATTTTTCCTAATGTTTTGATTGTTACATGTATATATATATATATATATATATATATATATATATATATATATATATATTCAGTGGGTTTTTTTCTCTCATCCTCATTATCATCAGTTTCTACTATTCTGTCTCTCGCCGATATTTTACGCCCATTTTGTTTTATGTATTAAATTGCATTTTGTTTTATCTATACTTCTCTCTTTTTCGTCTCTACCCAAATTATTTTCTTTTTTTAAAAAAAAAAAGCGTTCTTTACTTTTTTCTTTTTTTTTTAATTTCCCATGTTTCTTCATTAACTAAATTCTGTTTCGATTTTTTTCAGTTTTTCATTCTCACAATTTTTACCCTCTCTCTCTCTCTCTCTCTCTCTCTCTCTCTCTCTCTCTCTCTCTCTCTCTTTTAGTTCTCCCGTCTTTGTCATTTTCGCTCTTACTGTATACGATTTATCTGTGGCTCTATTTCTCACAGTATTTCTTTATCTCGCACACATACACACACACACACATACAAACACACATTTACTATGTCGATGTCTCTTAACTCTGTGGCTTTATCTATTTTTCTTCTTATATATTACCTATGTCTTCTGTCTTTCCCTGGTCGCTTATCTGTCCATTATCTTTCCTTTTTAATCCTTTTTTTCTTCTCTTATTTTTACTCTTCTTCTGATTTGTCTTTGCCACTCTCTCTTCCCTTATCTCTCCTCTCTCCACTTATTTCTCTTCATATATATATATATATATATATATATATATATATATATATATATATATAACATTTTGTTTATTAATTAGTCATTAATGTCATTGATTGTTAATTGGTATATAATTTTAAAAAACTGTCATTTTATGTGTATTAAAAAGCTTTTTTTAAAGTATATATCATTGAGCACTCTTTCGCAAGATTTTCTCTACTGAAATTAGATTAGTTATTTTTAAAACAAAGAAAATGAATATACAAATCATATATGTGTGTGTGTGTGTGTGTGTGTGTGTGTGTGTATTCTCTTGTTTTTCTTATCTCTCTGTATCTTTCTTTCATTTCTTATCTCTCTCTCTCTCTTCTCTTGTTTTCTGTTTACCATTTTCCATCTGTCTTTCTGCACCTTTCACTTTTTTATCTCTCCTATCTTTCTCTTTTTTTATTTTCTGTCTCTTTTATCTCTCATTTTCTTCATATTTCTCTCACTCTCTCTCCCAAATATCCATTTTTCTCTCTCTTCTATTATCCCCTCCTTTTACTTTCTTGAGTTATTTCTTTCTCCTTTTTCAATCTCTCTCTCTCTCTCTCTCTCTCTCTAGATTCCAAGATTATTTTTTACCTCTTTCCCCTCCTTTTCATCTTTCTTCTTTTTAACTGAATCTATCTCTCTTTATACATATCTCTCACTCTTTCCATTCCTTAATCTTTTCAAACCACGTTTTCTCTTTTATCTCCTTCGATATATTCTTCTCTTTCCTTTACCATTTTTCTCTTCTCTCTTGTGATTCCCCTTTCTGTCCCTCTGTCTCTGTCTGTCTCTCTCTCGTACTATGACGGCATTCCTTTTTATTTTTGTCTTGTGAAATATCCGATTAGTTATTTTTAAAACAAATTTTAGGATCAAAAACATAAGAACCAAACATCCACGTAAATAAAAAAAACCAACACGCACCTGCACAAATCATGAAAAGCGAAGAGAAAGTTCCCTAAAAAATCATTTCTATTTTCCAAAAAAAATATTTTAACTTCAACCGATTATGGAACGCGGAAAAAACGAAATAAAGTCAATTTTCTGGGGAAGATAAAAAAAATATCGGGGCATTTTTTCACGTTTAGAAGATTGCAGAATGAAAAAAAAGGAGAGACAAGAGAAAGTTTAAAGAAAAAAGAGAGAGAAGAAAAAGAAAAATAGGTGAAAAGAGAATGGCTAAAGAAGCCAGAATGGTAAATATAAGAGAAGAGGAAAGAAAAGTGAGCGTGGTAAATATAAGAGAAGAGGAAAGAAAAAAAAAAGAATAAAGAGGGAAAACAAAGAAAACCAAAATGAGAACGAAAAATAAAAGGACAGTTTTGAGACAACAAAAAAAAGACGCAAATGGAAAAAAAGGAAAACAAAAAAAAACGAGAGAAATGAAAAACGGGAAAAGGAAAATAATGAAGACGAAAAAAGAGGGGAAGAAAAAATAAAAAAGAAAACAGTGAGAAAAGATTTTTTTAAGTCATAGAGAGGGGGGGAAACAGAACAGAGAAACACAAAAGGAAATTGAAGAAAGATGTAAAATGTAAAGAAACTTTAAGAAAGAAATGAGTCACAATAAAGAACAAAAGAATAGAGAAAAAAAAAGAGCCGCCAAAGAAGAGAGACGGGAAAGAGAAGAGATGAGATTCCGATCCATTGTTCTATAGCATTATCCTTAATAAATGTGGACTAAATTTAGCTGAATTTTACACAACTACAACAACTACAACAGTGAAGCAATGAAAATGAAGTGGCGAACAATGACTTGATATATCAGCTAAAAAAAAACATCATTTTAATGAAAACGTCCTCTTTATTGTTTCTAAGCTTAGTCCAATATGATACAAGGCTAAACCAAAATGACCCCCAAGTTTGGGTTCGATTCAAAGTGCATGGCGGGGAGATCCTGCCTGCGCTTTTGACCTGGGCTCGAACAGCCGATGGGAAACATATAACTATTTCAGCCACGTAGTAGAAACAGTCACTACCAGTAGTCTGAAACTTGAGAAAGTGAGAACAGATTAAAATTGTAACAAAGAAGAGAGTCATATTATATCTATATTATCATGATTCTACCGGTAGAATAATAATAAGTAGCGGCTCGGATTGTGGAATCTGAGTTCGAATTCCATTTGAATTCATTACATTGTATAAATGTGCTTGGGAAAGGTATGAATCCATCTCTTCTCACCCAAGCTATGGGTAAATAGCAGAACAGACTATGCAACTAACGAAAGGATCATTCGCATTGACTTGATGATCTCGACTATGATCGACTTCATAACGATTCAATTTCTGTTTGGAGATGTGTTTGGAGACCGCTAAACAAAAATAAAAACGGAAAATTTATTTTAGGGTAAAATACTGTTGAAAAGTTCTAACTTGAAGAATAAAATAGTTAACTACACAATTTGATATTTAATAGTAATAGCGTACGCTCTCCATTTACATTTGCCCCAGTGATAATGGTCAGTTTCTTACAAAGCTGATAATCGATTCATATGGACAAAATAATATACCTATAAAATAATGATGCCTGTGAGTTATTTATATATTATATATATATTTTTTTATATGTAAATAAAGTTAGAATGCCAATTATAGAGTTTGTTTTTTTTGTTTTCTTTTTTGCAAATAATTATAATATAAAAAATCTCTATATAGGAAGTGACGTAACATCGATGTCAATTGTATACAGTCGCTTTCTAAGATCAATGGTCAAAAATGGCTTTGAGCGAGTGAAGTCTGATAGTGTTGACAAAGACCATTCTTTGAAGATTGTGAACTGGCGATAGAGAATTACAAAGAACAATACCAAATAACAGAAACCACACTACTTGAGGACTACCAACAGCAGCAACAACTAAAAATATGTAACTCTAAAAGAAAATAATGACGTAATCAAAATGTTGACATTCCACACTATTTCAAATAAAAGGTCAGGAAGGAAACCCCCGTCAATACTGGAAAAGGCGATAACAGCTACTGAACTCGAGAAACCTATTTTCCAAAAAAATTGTTTTGAGAGAAAGATTTTTATAAATTTCAACCAAAAGTAGTACTGGCAACGAATGCCAAGTGTTTCCGTATAAGGAAAAGGCTAATAATGGTCGCCTTTTGCTTAACGATCTTGTCAAGCACATCGTTGCTATTATAGTGTATTTGTTCCTCTTTGTGGTCTTGTGTCGGAGTAAGCTAAGGCTAGCAATGACAGTTAAAGAATGAAGAGGAGAGAAAAAAGAAAAGGGAAAAGTGAGAGAGAAGAAGAAGAAGTAGTAGTAGTAGTTAGGGAGGAGTAATTTAGAAACTCATAAAATAGAGGAATTTAGAGGTAAAAAGAAAAAAACGAAATTAAGTAAGGAGACGAAGGAAAGAAGCGGAGACAAAGACCGGCAAATGGAAGAAACAAAATCTAAAGAAATAAAATGAGCAGGAAACCTGAAAAAAAAAAAAAGAAAAAAACACACAAACAGGTTTCATAAAGAAAGATGCATTGTTATAAAAAGGTTAAGAGAATAATTCACTTCCCATCTTTGTAATGGACGCAGTGGAATGGTAATCACACAAAAATATACGGAATAAAATTGCTTGTTAAAAAAAAAAACAATATGGCCGAGCGGAAGTGAAAGAAGAACATTCGTGCGCATCTTTATACATTTACGTCCAGTTCACAGTGTCATACGCACTGGGAAAATCAAACTTATATATATATATATATATATACACATATGTAGAAAATTAAAGTAAAAATAATGAAATTTGGTAAGACATACGTTTTTATTTTACTCTATCCGTGAAAATTTACAGCTTACACCCATATATATATAAGCAAATATATGGATATAGATCCATATTAACATTAATACAGCATAATAAGATTTTTGTTTGTTTTTTTCTGTATATTTTTCTTCATATATATATATATATATATATATATATATATATATATATGTTAGAGAGTTTTCAATGGATCCAACTGAAATTCGAACTCGGCTCTCCAATGTCTCCAATCCGGACCACCATCCATTACTCCACCGTGCCTCTCACACACACAGATCATTGACGGAAAGATTTGACATTATAAATTCTTACCTGCATGTAATCCATATCTACATTTTTTTCAGTTGTGTACCTGGAACATATCTTTATATCATCGTTTGCACACACACTCAAAGAATGCACATGTATGTACGAATATATTATTGTGTGTGTGTGTGTGTGCGCGCGCGTGTGTGTGTGTGTAAACAACGTAAAAGTATGAAGACCAGAAAGAATTAAAAAGAAAGGATAGACGACAATAAGAAAAAAAATGCTTCAATGAATGACAGAGCAAAGGAGAAGAAAGAGAAGAGCGGTGAAAAAAGTAAGGGAGATAATCGAAAAAAACATCTTTGTCAAAGAAAAGAGAAAGCAAAGAAAGTAAAAAATTATGAAGGCATAAAATGAAGAGAGGTAAAGCGAAAAAAGTGAATCAAGACTCAGACGAACGAACAAAAAGATTCAAAAAGAAAGAATCTAGACCGGAAAATTGCATAAAAGAGATGAGAAAATACATTTGCAAATGCTCACACGTTTCTAAATATCCGTCCGTTCTCAGACAAACGCGAATAGACGCAGATACAAATAAATTACCTATATATAAGAAACATACACAATAACGAAAACCAGTAAAACAAACGACACCCTAACCAATTCTAACTTCATTATCGTTACTGCCAAGTATTAGACATGCTAGCCGAACTGACCATTACTTTTTGAGTGACCATAATTTTAATTTGTGCCAAACTAAGGAAGAAATGTCTAGCTTAGCGCGGTTATTACAAAGATAGATCCATATCTCTTGTAGAGAATTCGATATTCACTGGTTGCTCCATATATTTGGCCTCATGCCAGAATAAAATAAACGAACGAAATATTATGATATTTATAAGAAGCCATTCCATTACTGATGTAGTAAATATGATCCTCACTGAGTGTCCTAAACTTGTGTTTTTGTATTGTATTAAGCATCTCACTGTGGAGCAATGTTGAACAAGGTAATCTCACAGTTCATTACTTTTTAAGGAGTTCGATACTCACAAGGTGCCCAAGGTGTCCATGATATTGTGCCAGATGCATAGGTTTAGAAAACAAACTTTTTGCTAGTGCATTGAATTCGATCCTCCTGAGTGCTCGATTACTGTGACCTTGTTCCTAGCTAAACTAAGCTTAATGAATATCTATAAGCTTTAACATACTTTTTTTTATAAGGTCTGTTTTCCAAAATTGATCTTGGAATCATATTTAATACAGCTCTCTTTAATTTGGAAATGACGTTTGTATCTTTGCCACTCAGATTTATGATACGCATAATATTTATGACTCACAGGTTCCACTCACACTTCCGGAATTACGATATGTATGCACTCCCGGCACCTATTTTAATCCGTAAAAAAAATGACGAGCTGTCATATTAATTTCTCACTTCCTGTTCCATTTAGTTATTTAAATATCTACTATTTAATTAAAGTTTCTAACAGTCCTTATTATTAGTCTTAATGCTTTAAAGATAGCGTTCAAAATTAGTCGGCACAAATTGAAATTTTATTCAAAGAAGCTACTCTGAAAGACAAATTGGCAAGAAGTTGAAGATTTCTAAACATGGAGTGCAATATTCTTTACAAAGGGAGTTAGAAACTGGCTCAAATGTTGACAGAAAAGAGCTGGCGCACCAACAGTGACAACTGATGCTGAAGATAAACACTTAATTATTGAGAATAAAAGAAATAGAAGGAAAATTGCTCCAGAGTTGAAAACTGAACTTAATTCCTGTCGATGACAGACAGTGTTGCTCACAACTGTGAAAAGTTGACTTAGATTAATAGAGATCAGGGATTACATAGCCATCAACAAACCCCTGTTACGGAAATGTTATGGGCAAAAAAAGTATAAGAACTGGCCATTGAATGAGTGGCAAAATTTATCAGACAGACGAGTCCAAATTTGTACTTTTTCGTAGTAAGAGGAGAATTTATGTGAAAGGAAAGCCAAGAGAAAGACTGAATGAAAAAGTAGGGTAGTGGGTCTGCTATGGTGTTGGAGTGTTTTAGGGAGAGAGGGTTGAAAATTGAGTCCAAGGGAATCATGAAAATACAATATCATTCGATTTTGCAAAAATACGCTAAATCCTCTGCTTTACGCATAATTGGAAAAAATACGTTTCAACAAGATAATCATCTCAAACACTCTTTTGTGAAAATTACTTCGAGTCAAAAAAAGTAACAAAATATTTCAATTTATGACTTTGTCGATTCAATCCCCGACATCTTTTCCGTTGGATTTGTATGGGTTGAATTATATAGGAGAGTTCGAAGTGAATATCCAAAGCGTGAGAGCGAGCTTTTTGGTGCTGGAAGAATGCTTGGGATGGTCCGCCATCTCCTTTTTTTTCAAAAACTGTTCAGAATTATTCCAAGAATGATAAAGCAGTAGTTGATGCAGGTGGTGGTTTTATTGACGAAAACAAAATATGATTCTGTTGTATGATAATTTTTATAGCTGTTTGTGTTTTGTCAAATTAAAAGCAAATACACTGTAATTATAGAAATGATATCTTTCAAAAATCCAAACATATTTCATTTTAAAATGTTTTTAAAGAAATTCAGGTTGAAACCAAACTTTTTGCCTGTAATGTATATAACAACGTTTCATCTTCAAAATTGGGGCAAAAATAGTACTATTCATTCGGATAAATTATAGTCATAAGACGATGTATTTCTCGGAACAGCAGACAATATTATAAAGTTGGGGAACACACCGATCGAAACAAATAAAAATATTTGATAGAATAATAAAGCCATGCGAATTTGTTAATACTTTTGGTTTTTCAATAAAAGGTTGAGAAGAATAAGCGGAGTAGTTCGATTTTTTTTTTCCAGGATTTAATAAGGGGAGGGAATAAATAATGTGTCGCAAAAGGCGAGAGATGAAAAATCTGCGAATGGGATCAAGACTTGTCTAAAATTTCGTTTGTGTGAATGAAGAGATGCTATATAATCATTCAGCAAATTATTGGAAGAGATTTAAAACAATTTTCTTCGAGATCAAAATGTTTACTGTAAATAAATATAATTTTTACAAAACATGTTTCTAATATTCTTTATGCATTAATTCTTTTCTTCGCCTCCAAATGTTTCTTTCTCGCCAATATTTTTTAAATTATTTTTAAACTATCGAGAAATTACGACAAGTTACACGACTAAAATATTCTACTGAATTACTTATTATTTGAATGAATTTTTAAAATCTGTGTCAAATCAATTTCGCAATTCTAAAAGATTAGTTTCTTAGAATTTCATTTTTTATCTCGGAAAATTTTCACGCAAATAAATAAACGTGGTGATGAAATAAGAGCCGGAAATTGAATTATTAATTTAATAAGCCGGGGTTACAATTACAGTAACTCCTTACATATATTCTGTTTGTGAATCTTTTATGATCTTGCGACACATGACCCTATGATCCTGATTGCATGAAAAACTACACACGTCACCCCATGATAAAAATTAAAAGCTCTAATGAAAGTTCAATATTACGATTTAACACAGCGTAGAAATTTAATATATATATATATATGTGTGTGTGTGTGTGTGTGTGTGTGTGTGTGTGTACATATATATATATATATATATATATATATATATATATATATATGTGTGTATATATATATATATATATATATATATATATATATATATATATATATATATATATATATATATATATATATATATATATATATCCATATATACATCTATTTTAGCCAAAAGGAGCTGAATATATCTTGTCCCGATCAAGAAAGTATTCTTTTTAAATCTGATGCTTTGGCATTTAGTCAGATTTTCGTCTGAAAAATTCTGGAAACCTCCTGTCGAACTTTGAGCTTTTTGGTATCCACTACTTTTTAGGAGGCATCAAGACGCAAGAGCTAAACCAATCCATTAGAAATGATGAAGGATTGCACTTTTCAGCTGGGAAAAGTTAATGCTACCCAATTTAAGAAAATAATTTTGGGAGAACTAGATATGGCTTAGACAAGTAAATATGCGTACAAACATACAGGTTATTGCATAAATTGAGACGGAAAAGCATAGCATTACGAGCACATCTCCTTATTTATATGTGCATTGAGGAATTTAAAAAAAACAATATTTTGAATAAAGAAAGGAAATAAGGTGATTATTTTTTGTACAAATATCAAAATGTTGGCACAAAGAAGAGAAAAGAAAGGAGAAGCAAACAATAAGAAGAAGGGATCAATATTCTCTAAGAATGAAATAAACGAATAAAAAAGAAAGAAAAAGAAAAAAGAAGCATACAAGAAAGAATGAAATCAAGAAAATTTAATAAACTAAAAAGAGGGAAATTTTGAAATTAATAAAAAGTAAAGAAAAAAGAAAAAGCATGAAAAAGATAAGCAGAAACAAATGAAAAAGAGAAAAGAAATAAAAAACAAAAAGAAAGTCAGAGAAATAAGCAGAAAAGAAAAGAAAGAAAGAAAGAAAGAAAGAATGAATGAATGAATGAATGAATGAATGAATGAATGAATGAATGAATAATCGAGGAAGACACAAAGAAAGCATCGTAAACAATTTTAAGACAAAAATCAATTTTATGCTTTTTATTTAATTTCTGGTGCTTCTAAAAGATGGGGAGACGGAAAGAAAAAGAAATGAATCGAAATTTGAAGAAGAAGAACAAAGTGAAAAATTTTTAATCGAATGAAAAAGATGAAATCAATTTGCTTATTTTCTTTTTTAAATTGCCCTCTTCAGGCTGTGAGATAAAAAAAAAAAAAGAAGAAAGAATTGCAGAAAAGAAGGACAAAAGTCGAAATCAGGAGAAAAAGGCAAATACTCGATTTTCCGAAATTTAAATCGAAAGCAAAAAAGATCAATTAATGAAAAATAAATCCTCAGAATTAAAAAATAAAAATAAAATAATAACGCTGACTCCTCTCTCCTACCTCAGATCGTTTGGTAAGAGGGAGGCGAGGTCAGGTTCGAAAAAAAAAGCCGAAGGGATGGGCGTGAGGGATGAATGTAAACAAGTACAACAGGGACTGTTCGTCTGAATAAAAAAGAATTTGACGCGAACTGTCCATGGATCCCAAAACTCCTGCAATCAAAACAATACAAACATGAAATTGGAAAATTACATACATACATACATACATACATACAGACACACACACACACACACACACACACACACACATATATATATATATATATATATATATATATATATATATCAACAAGAGGTTAAAAAAGGGTATTATCTTAGAAGAAAAGGAACAAATGAAAAGGTTGGAGCGTTCTTTTTAATTTAAAAAATTGTATATTTGAAAACGGAAAATAGAAGAATTCGACTTGCTGCTCCTGAGAACTTTGAGTTTTGCATGATTTTATTATAGATTATTTCCTCTTTCCATATTTTTTTTTTATTTTACCTTTAATTTTACGTTCGGGTATACAAAAGAAAAATGAAAGTATATACCTCCCACATTTTCAGGGCTTTGGGGGCAAAATTAGTGGGTTTTGATATGCAAGTCAAATTTTAAAAGCTGAAAGTTTAAAAAATCTCTTACTTTTTAAAAAATTATTTGAATTTAAAAACATTTCCTAAATTTATAATGTCTAGAAACATCCATTTTCATATCCTATAGGCATCGTTCTTCTTCTTTTATGTGACTTGTTCCTTTAGGGGGGATGCGAGGATGGCTCTCCACAATTTCCTTTACAGCTCTAAGCTATGTTCTTTTACTATTCGTAACCCTGTTCTGCTATTCAGTTGAACAAACTCTTTAAGTACGTTACTTGTTGTCTCCCTTTGTTCCTCTTGCCTTAAATATGTCCTGTGAGTTTCAAATTCTTCAAGCACTTTTCCTCATTATGTGTCCCTAAAATTCCAGTTGCCTCTTCCTGATTCTGGGTATAAGGGTTCTCTTTTTTATTCCCGTGTTTCTCAAAACCGCCTTGTTTTATCCATGCTATTTTCAGCAACCTTCTGAAGAAATGCATTCTCCTCTTCATCTGCGATAATATCGTACAGAATTCACTGCCATTTCGGGAAAGTTTGTTTCCAACGAAACTGTTTCTTCTTCTATTTTCTTTCGTTTTTGGAATGATTCTTTCGGATTTTTGTTAAATTTTCCATCGTTTGTTGTAGCACTTCACAGAGAATTAAATTTCTGTATTTCCTTGAATTTGATGTCACCATTCTCACCTCGCATCTCCGACTGTCCCTTTGACTAATAACCATCTTTTCATCTCGCTTTCCTTTACTACCTTTTCTAGGAGTTCCTGTAATTTTCCTTTTGAGTCTGCCATCATCGCAGTATCTTATTTTGTTAAGATTCTGATCAGAAATAATAAATCCTGGTAGAACGTCTAGTTCTTTTATGATCGACTCGCTGTATAAGTTAAATAAGTCTGATGGGAAGACGCATCCTTGTCTTATGGCCTTTCTATTTCTGTACTTGTTCAATTGATTTTCTATTCATGTGCAGGTGGTTTGTTCCCAATAAATCAAGCTTTCCTAAAAGTTTAAATAGATCTTTACATGACTATTACACTGTGTTTAATGTTTTCATCAAGTTATAATTACCAATATTGTTGTTTTACTATAATTACTATTTATATAAGCCGTGACATCAATGAGTAGGATTTGTTAAAATAATCATTTACTCTAATTTTTACAGAGACACTACTGCAATTAATTCTGATGATAGATAATAAGAAACAAGAATCACAATTGTATTTTAGTTTTGCTTGTATTTGAACATGAAGCCATGGTTTTGAATTTTCTTATCATAAACTGCAGAATTTATTATCATTTCACTATTCCATCACTTGCCTTTTATTATTTTCTAAACTAATAAATTCAATACTTCTGTCAGTCAGTCAGTCAGTTGCGTGCCATGCGTGATACACGAATAGGCGATCATGTATCTTTTGATACATGACTGACGAGGCAAATTTTTCCCACAGTATGTTGTCATTTCTTTCTGCGGTAGACCAGTTGTCATCCAAGACTATAGAACCCAGTCTGTTCTGCTATTTACCCATAGCTGGGGGCAGAAGAAGAGAATTCATTCATACCTTTCCCAAGCTATTAGCACGTCAGTAAATGTAATGGATTCGATAAAATTCGAATTCGGCTCTTCGATTCCTCAGTCCGACTTCTGGCAGTATGTAAGAAGAATTGATGATTAAGCATCAAATTTAGCAATTTGGGCTATAAATTTTGTTTAATCTGGTATCATTGTACATTAAAATTGAAGAAGTCGATGGTCAGAAATTAGAACAGGCATTAGAACAGGAGGAAGGAAGGACCATTAAATATAGCAGTCTTAGTAGATATTTCTTATCCTTTCCACTTTGCGAACATTGTGCATGGCTTTTGTTCAAACGTAGGGAAGAGGGCAAAATTGTCTAGTTCTCTCTACCTTGACTATGCCATCACCACCGGCATTGTGGAATAATTCTGACCTACCCCTTTTGCTGAAGTTAGAAGGTGCAACCTAGGAGAACTCATCTCTTGGAAGTAGGCATTATCTTAGCTGCGTGGAAACGATTAGTTTCTTCTTCTTCTTCTTTTTATTATTATTATTATTAGTAGTAGTAGTAGTTTTAGTAGTAGCAGTAGTAGTGGTAGTAAGAAAGTAACATGCCAACAGAATGACGCTGGGATATACGAAATTCAATAAATCCATTTTAACACCTGGCTTCATAAGTAATGGTGAACGATATGACGATAGGTTTTAATAAAAGCAGCACACAACCTTTTATATCCAGTAATATTTACTGTAGCCCATCATAATTAACTAAGGCAAAATATTTACATGCTAAAACCCCTAATCGGTTAAAATCAGAAGCTATGAGAATCATGCCTGGTGTAGCCTCTGTTTATCATTCTTCATATTATTTAAAACGGTTTTATACTCTGTGTGTGTGTGTGTGTGTGTGTGTGTGTGTGTGTGTGTGTGTGTGTGTGTGTGTGTGTGTGTGTGTGAGAGAGAGAGAGAGAGAGAGAGTAGCTAATGCTTTCTGCAGGTCTAATACTTTAATAAGGAAATGCAGCAAGCTCTTATGTCGGGTTTCTTTAGTAGGAAACATGGAAATTCTGATTTGAAAAGTCCGAAATATTGTTTTATATATTGCATACATTTCTTTTTTACGGTTTTATATCTCTTTTTCCTGTTTCTTACTAAAAAAAACTTTTCTGATTTTTATCAAAATGCTTTTAACCAATTCCATTCTTTGTTTCCTAAATTATACTTATTTTCATTGAGGCAATTAATGGATCTGTCGACAGTCATGTCACTTTTAACAGGGGACTCCAAATATTTGAGGAAAGCGTAAAAACGTTAAATAGTGTAAACAAGTTGGTAAGTAACAACAACTCTATGATTATTGTTGTTTTGGATGATGATGATGATGATGATGATGATGATGATGGTGGTGGTGGTGGTGGTGGTGGTGCTGGTGCTGGTGGTTTTGTTAGCTATGGTGGTGGTGATGATGTTTACTGTTATTTTTTCTTTTGAGACCATTACTTTGTTCTAACCGGCCGAAATGTACTGTTCTATTATATAAGACTTACTATTATATTTGTACGTTTTGTTTTTACGCCAAGCGGCTTTCAATGAAAATCAAGTGACAGCAAGCCCCTGTTGTATTTTTGCACTTTCTACAGCATTCTAGCGTATTTCAATAATGTTGTCGTTTGGATGGCTTCAAAATTTACTCAGAAATATTAATCAACTGGTCGCGTTCAAAATCTTACCCCTATTGTTTCAATCATTCAATATTTAGATTTCTTTACATGGTTTTATCTAATTTGGTTCACATAAAATTTTAAAAAATCATTAATAATCTTCGTTAGTTGTATAACCCGTAATGAAAGAGAACGGGTCTCTTTTTATATAACTTCTTTTTCCTTACAGATTATTCAATTCAAGAAGGCTGTAGAACGAATTTATCAAAATGCTATGGTAATAATATCAGCAACAAAAGGAATGAATTCAGTTGTCCAAACAAATTTTGAAGCTGATTTTATGATTTTGTATTTACTTATTTTCCGGGTACTCTTTGTCTTTTCTTTTCTTCTTTGCAGAATCCGAGTCTCACGATCGATGTGACTGGCGTAGAAATTGGACGAAAGCTAAAATAAACCACTCAGCAAATGACATCCAATTCCTTTTAAAAGACATTTCGAACATAAAATAAAAAAAATGCATAACACATCTTACGAATTACGAAAAAGAGAAATTGATAAAAATCTGACAAAAGACGATCAAAGAGGGTTTCATTTCTCTGTCCTTTTTTAACCATTCATAAAAAATATGGCGTTTGCAAAGGGCTATATACATTCATTTGGGCCATTATTGTAAGAGACGCCTCATCTTTAAATATGAGAAGAGAAAATCCTACAAGTTAGAATAAAAATCAAATAAATAAAAAAAGGTAAACAAGCAGTTGTCAGTTCCCGACAAATTTTTGACTCATCTTCAAACCGAAAAAGAAGCAAAAAGCTTTCATAATTTTCCGCAATGTGTCGATTCTTGGTTTGGGATTAA